GATGTGTGGGGAGACTATGCGTGTGTGGAGGTAGGGGGTAAATGGGAAATCTCTGTACCTCCCTCTCAGTTTTGATGTAAACCTAAAACTGTTCTAAAAAAAAAAATTCTTTTTAAAACCCTGGGAAAAAATTGGGCTTACAGAAGCTCATATCCCAGAAATATCATAACAGGAATTTATTCTTGTTTTGGGTGGGATGTCAGACCTCCCAAGTCTCCAACATTATATCTAATACTAGAGGCCCGTGCACCGGTGGGGTCCCTCGGCCTAGCCTGTGGGGATTGGGCAGAAACCAGCTCTCCAACATCCCCCAAGGGGCCCTGGATTGCGAGAGGGCGGTTCTCAGGTGATGCACCACGGAATCGGGCTCTCTCCTCTCTGATTCCAGGTACATCACGCAAGAACTGCAGCTGCCAAGTCACCACAGCTCAGCAGCTCCAGCACTGAGCATCTGCCCCCTGGTGGTCAGTGTGCATCATAGCTACCAGTCAAACAGTCTGCCCCCTGGTGGTCATTGCACATCATAACTACTGGTCGACGGTCAAACAGTCACTTAGGCTTTTATATGTAGAGATATGAAGGATTTTTATGCAGAGAATCCTATAATGCAAAGTCAAGTTTGGAAACCAATGATCAGTCGAGCATTCTCAATTTACAAGTGAGATCCAAAAAGTTAAATAACTTAAGAGCTATCTACTAAGACAGTGGTAAAGTCAAGGTTAGATCTTCCAACTCTACCCCAATGATCTTTTTATTATATTGACATTTAAGAAAGCCTAGATTGGTGTGGTAAGACATGTTCTTAGTGACCAATGCTTATTTTCTTCTTTTTCCATTAAACTTTCTTTTCAAAGTGCTCATAAATCATATTTAGTAACCTGTTCTAGAGTATGCCAGGAATAAATATTAACAATTATTACAAGAGTTGTAAAAAAGAAAGAGAAAACCAGGCATATGTCCTCCCTGATGAAAAAACACACCAATCACCTGTATTCCTGCCAAAAGAATCAAACTTGAATTTGAGCAAACCTTTAGATCCAGCTGGCAATTAACAGACAATAACTGTTATCATGAGTATGCAGAGAGAACTTTACAGTTCAAATGGCCCAGATTCTTCAACAGATAAATTATAAGGGAAAGAAAGGCATTAACAGGGAATCTGAGATTAAAAGAGATTTAAACATCCTATCTATTTTTTTTAAGAGCAAGACTAAACAATTAAGAAACACAGTTTATTTTTATTTTATTAAATATATTTTTATTAATTTCAGGGAGGAAGGGAGAGAGAGAGAGATAGAAACATCAATGATAAGAAAGAATCATTGATTGGCTGCTTTCTGCACGCCCCCTACTGGGGATGGAGCCCGCAACTCGGGTACATGCCCTGAGCGGGAATCGAACCAGTGACCTCTTGGTTCATTGAGCCATGCCAGCCAAGCACAGTTTATCATTTTATTTTTTATTTTATTTTATTTTTTTAATATATTTTATTGATTTTTTACAGAGAGGAAGGGAGAGAGATAGAGAGTTAGAAACATCGATGAGAGAGAAACATCGATCAGCTGCCTCCTGCACATCTCCTACTGGGGATATGCCCGCAACCCAGGTACATGCCCTTGACCGGAATCGAACCTGGGACCTTTCAGTCCGCAGGCCGACACCCTATCCACTGAGCCAAACCGGTTTCGGCCACAGTTTATCATTTTAAAAGTCAGCATAGGGCAGTGGTTCTCAACCTTCTGGCCCTTTAAATACAGTTCCTCATGTTGTGACCCAACCATAAAATTATTTTCGTTACTTCATTACTGTAATGTTGCTACTGTTATGAATCGTAATGTAAATATCTGATATGCAGGATGGTCTTAGGCGACCCCTGTGAAAGGGTCGTTCGACTGCCAAAGGGGTCGCGACCCACAGGTTGAGAACAGCTGGCACAGGGTTACTTTTGAGGGAAAAACATTGTGTTTGGGATGGAACATATAGGGTTGTTGGCAAAGTTCTTCTTGACTTGAATGGTGATTACAAGAAAATATGCCTTATAATAATTTATTTTTGTTTTATGTGGTTTGTAAACATGTTGTATTTCATAATAAAAAGGTTAAAAATTTAAAAGCTCAGGTAAATTAATAATCAGATTCCAGATATAATATTCTTTGACCAAAATATTTACCTGTAAGAGGTTTAGCATTTTTTAAATGTTATTTTATCATTTAAAGTATTACAAATAGTACATATGTCTCCTTTTTTTCCCCATTGACCTTCCCCCAGTCTCCCTTACACCTATCCCCCCCCCCCGCCCCCCCAGCACAGGCCCTCACTGGGGTTTAGCATTTTAAAAAATGTACTCTATAGCTATTGATTAGGCCTACATATGATCCATAGCAATTTCAAAAATGTAATCCGAATGCCAGCTATTTTTTTTTTTAAATCACACTGAGGTAGCTTTATTTCCTTAAATATTCCCTTTTTCCTTTATTTACCCCATAAACATTAGTCTAATTGGCCCAGATAACATAAGGTTACTTTAAACATGACAGGGAATGTTGCCTACTAGATTCAAAAACAGTAAACAAACCAAATAAATATTTAGTGAGGGCCTATTGTATAAGTAAACTATAATGTACCTTATAGAAAATACAGAAGCACACACTGATTCCCTGGATCTGAAAAAGCTTTTAACCTAGCAAGAGAGATATTTATTTACTTGTCATACCTATAAATTAAATATCCGAGATATTAGTGGGTTCAATCTCCCCTTAAAAAGACTAGATTGGTATCCCTACCTCTCCAACACCACCATATTGTCTCCTTTCCTATAGGCCAAACACTATCTCCTTTACTTTTCTTTCATTTGATATGCCCCATCCTTTTCAATTTTGTCTGCTCTTTTTTAGGGCCTTTTCTCTTCTTCTCCAATATTCTTGTTGTTGTTAATCCTCACCAGAGGATATTTTTCCATTGATTTTTAGAGAGTGTTAAGGAGAGGAAGAGGGAGAGAGGGGAAGAGAGGGAAGGAGAGAGAGAAAGAGAGGGAGAGAAGGAGAGAGAGAGAGAGAGAAAAAGAGAGAGAGAAAATTGATGTGAGAGACACATCAATTGGTTTCTTCCCCCACGGACCCCAACCAGGGCCAGGGATCAAGCCTTACAACAGTGACACGTGCCCTTCACCAGAATCAAACCCAAGACCCTTCAGTCTGCGGACTAATGCTCTATCCACTGAGCCAAACTGGCTAGGGCCTTCTCCATATTTTTAAAGGAAGAGGACCAGAAAAGTAAAGTTGAAAGCCAAAACATTTATTTCAGATCCTGTATAACCCTAAGACAGCAATAAAAGTAATTTGTCAAAGATCAGAATAGACAATACAGTAAAATGGCTAATAAGCCTAAGTTCAACCTATCTAGTAATCAAAGAAATAATAATTATGAAATAACAAAGATTAAAGTGATCATATTCAATGCTACTCTGGGTGAAACAAGACATTATAAGGAGACATGTGATTTGATGCAAATATTTCAGATTAATATGTATCAACACCCTTCAAATATTCATGTATTCTGGTCCAACAATTCACTTCCAGGAATTCATTCTAAAGAAATAATCTTGCCCTGGCCATTGTGGCTCAGTTGGTTGTGCCTCGTCCCCTGCTGGTTGGATTCCCAGTCAGGGCATATGCCCGGGTTGATGGTTGGGTCCCCGGTCGGGGTGCAGGAGACAACCAATGTTTCTTCCTCAGATTGATGTTTCTCTCTCTCTAAAATCAATTTAAAAAATATGTATTTTTTTAAAAAAGGAAATAATCTTATCCTACAAAATTTTGGAGAAAAATTTATGTATATAGACATCTTATTACCAAAGATATGGTGACACATTACAAGCCATATGAAAAAATAAAATAAGAAAAAAAAAAGAAAAAGAAAAACTACTTAAATATCCAAAAACAGGAAAAAAGTGCCCGGCTGGCATGGCTCAGTGGTTGAGTATCAACCTATGAACCAGGAGGTCATGGATCAATTCCTGGTCAGGGCACATGCCCAGGTTGTGGGCAGGATCCCCAGTGTGGGGCATGCAGAGGCAGCCAATCAATGATTATGTCTCATCATTGATGTTTCCATCTCTTTCTCCCTCTCCTTTCCTCTCTGAAATCAATAAAAACATATTAAAAAGAAAAAAAGTATGCTTAATATACTATATATATATATATATATATATATATATATATATATAAACATTAATTAATGCACAGACTAGGAAGAAGCACACTCAAATTTTAACAGTGAATTCTTTCCAGATGATGGCATTATAGTTATTTTATTTTCCAAATTGTTTAATATGTGTCTATATTACTTTAATAAGCAGGAAAGAAAAACTCTCATATTTTATACTAAAAAAAAACTATTTCAAATGTTTTATGGCTTGACTTTTTCTATGTATTACCATTCCTAAGTATCACAGACTAATGACTATTGATTCCCTAAGGTATAAGAATCCCATACATAAAAAAGAAAAAAGAATCTTATATATCACTTGATAAGGAAAAGGAGAGAAAATGAAACCTTACAAAAGGTATCATAAACGTTTCTGACCATGCAGACACACATTCCAAACATACTCCTCCACAGGGTACCAAGAAATGAGCGATACAATGGTAGTAGTACAGAGAGATAAGCCACAAAGAATGAGAAAGTAACGTTTAGAAAGGTATACTAGGGAATTATCCTTAATCTCTATAACTCAACAAATTCTGTATGGAATGCAGCCCCATTAGAGAAACTGTCAGAAGCAGATAGTCACAAACACAAAATTTTGCACACAATTTAATTTAAACTCTGTCCCTGTAACTCTTTTAGTTTAAGAATTGTTCCTGTAAATGTTCTAATAAGCAAGGTTTTTAGCTGACGCTCCGAAAAAAGAATTCCATCTCTAAAAGATCATTCACATTTAGAAACAGCAGGTACCACTCTGATGACTAATTCTAGCATCCTACAAACAAATGATTTACCTTTCCTGAAACAGACTCCCCATCATAGAAAAGATAGTTTTTTTCTACTTTGCCATCTTCAGTTTTCATTTCCGCCATTTTTCTGGTTTCCCCATCATTAAGGATAACATCAATCTCACAAATGGGACCAAAAAAGCCGCCAAGAAAACTCTGAAATAAAAGAAAAATGCTCATAATGATCATGTTTTGTCAGTTGCTATGTTTTATAATTCAAATTTAATTACCTATGACATACAGTTAAAGAGACTGTAAATCTGTGAATTTCTAGGGAATAAGAATTTAAATTTAATACAATGTAAATATTGTTAATACTGTACACTAAATAATTTAAAAGAATAAATTCATGTTAAATTTTTTACAATAAAAAGACAAAAACTACAAATTTAAACATGCTATAATTTCAATCATTTACATACATAACCACCATAAATAATCAAATACATATACCAGAAATCTAAAAATCTGGATTGAAAAGTTACCTTTTCGTAGTTATACTTCTATAAGGTTCTTTCATTATAGCAGAACCCACAAATCCAAATTACTTGTACAAATCCAGATGAGTTATTATGGTGTACTAACTACTTTCTGTAAAATCTACTGCTGTGTAAGACTGAACAAGAAGTGTTACATTGTGTAAGCCCTTGGAATAAAACTGGATCTAATGGAAGAGAGAAATTAAATTTCTGTGAATTTTTCCAAAGAAAATATATAAGCCTTGTTCTGTAAATCCTGAATATGACAGACTGTAAGAGACAAGGATCAATTGCTTTTGACTGTCAAAGCATACTAGTAATACAAAATCCATTAGTAACTCCAATATCAGATTTAGTTGTGCATTATTTTTGTCATTTACAAAAGCCAGTTTTCTGTTCTTTTAAAAAATTTACAGAGAACAATCTCCTACCCTGTTGTCCTATATCCCTTTTAACTCTGCCCTAACAACCAGAATGATCTCTTAAAAACATAAATCTGATCATCATTCTGTTTAAAACCCGTTAGTGTGCTGGTGACAGTATAAATGGGAACACCTATTTAAAAAATAGATGGCATTGTGTGGTAAAGCTAAACATATCCCATGACCCACCAATTACACCCCTAGGTATCTACCCAAACAGACACTCTTAAACACATGAACCAGGAGACTGTGTAAGAATGTTCACAACCATCACTGTTCACAATAGTGCCAAATAGTTAACAATCCAAATATACATCAAGAGAATGGATAAATTTTAGTCTATATTCATACAATGAGCAATGGAATGAGATACAGCCACAAACAAGCATGAATCTCACACATGTAACGTCAAGTGAAAGATGCCAGACACAAAAAGAATACGCACTGTATGATTCCATTTATTAAGTAAAAAACATGCAACATACATTATAGTTCTACAAGTCAGGAACTGGTTGGAGAAAGCATAAAGAGAACTTCTGGGTGCTGCTAGTCGTGTTGTTTGTTTTTAGCTAAGTGCTTTATACACAGGTATGTTCACTTTGTGAAAATTCATCCAGCTATACCAGGGGTGGGCAAACTTTTTGACTTGAGGGCCACAATGGGTTCTTAAACTGGACCGGAGGGCCGGAACAAAAGCATGGATGGAGTGTTTGTGTGAACTAATATAAATTCAAAGTAAACATCATTACATAAAAGGGTACGGTCTTTTTTTTTTTTTTAGTATTCATTCATTTCAAACGGGCCGGATCCGGCCCACGGGCTGTAGTTTGCCCACGGCTGAGCTATACACATATTTGTGCACTTTTATATAGCTAATGTTTACTTCAGTGAAATGTTATTTTTTAAAATATATTTTTATTAATTTGATAGGAAGGTAGAAGGAGAGGTAGAAACATCAATGATGAGAATCATTCATTGACTGCCTCCTGCACGCCCCCCCTACGGGGGATCGAGCCCGGAATCTGGGCATGTGCCCTGACCAGGGAAACGAACCATGACCTCCTGGTTCATAGGTCCATGCTCAACCACTGAGACACACTAGCTGGACTAAAATGTTATTTTAAACACACACAATATTTCCTAACATGGCCTACATATTATTTGGCTCTATCCATCTCTCCAGCCACACATGCCTCAAACAATCCAAGTTCATCAAATTTGCCACTCTCCTTCTTGATCTAGACCAAGTATCCTTCACCTAATTCATCTTTTGAGTCTGTTTGACTCATGTCCATAAAGAGACTTTCCCTAACTTCCTAATCAAAATTGGATTCTCCAAATTTAGATCTCACAACACCTACTTTTGATTATTCTGTACTTTTTCTTACTGTGTTATTAGCTCATGTGAGAGGGGGTTTTATCTACTTTCTTCACGCTGTATCCCCCAATGCCATATTGTTAGCTAATGTGAGTTGAGATTCTTATCTGCTTTCTTTTAAAGAAAATATATGTTTTACTGATTTTGAGAGAGAGAAGGGAGAGGAAAAGAAACATGGGTGTGAGAGATAAACATGGATCGGCTGCTTCCTGCAGGCCCCCTACTGGGGATCCAGCCTGAAACCCAGGCATGTGCCCTGACAGGGAACTGAGGTGACGACACCCAACCAACTGAGCCACACCGGCCAGGGCTCCTAGTTAGCTTTTATATATATTTCTTTTATTGATTTCAGAGAGGGAGAGAGAGATAGAAATAGAAACATCAATGATGAGAGAGAACCAATGATCAGCTGCCTCCTGCACGCCCCCTACTGGGGATCGAGCCAGCAACCCAGGCATGTGCCCTTGGCCGGAATCAAACCTGGGACCCTTCAGTCCACAGGCCGAGACTCTATCTACTGAGCCAAACCAGCTAGGGCTCCTAGTTAGCTTTTATACCCGAAGTTTTCAAAACTTGCTCAAAATAGTGTATTTTCTCCAAAGCGCTACAGATATGAGAGTGTACAACAGCTCAGATGACTGATATTTACTAATTATCAACAATGTGTAAAGCACTGAGCCAAGGGTGTGTGTGTGTGTGTGTAGCAATTATGAAAGGGTAGAAGACAATGGCCTCATTTGAGTTATAAAATAGAAGCAGGACATAACATTAAATTAAAAATATGTACAAACTATGTCATCCCTTATTTCCTGTATGCATTAAGTATTTCATAATTAAAAATTAAAAAGTAGACTTAATTTTCAACACAATCAAAAAACTAAGATTGGGAGAGATCAGAAGATATTTTAAAAACCCAGTATTGCATTTGCAAAATAACAACAGGAGGAAAAATAAAACTACAACACTTTTAACAATGTTTAATTAATGATGCCATGAGAATTTAGCACTGGGTTAACATCCAGTTTTTTTACACTAGGATATATCAAAAATTAATTAGTCTTACTAAAAGCCTCCAGAAAATTGTGGATGTCTTACATTTAACAAGTAGACAACAGAGAGAAAAAATTGTCTTTTTTTCTAAAAGGAGTTGAAAGAAAGGATTCTCTACCCAAAGTTTTGCTTTTGAAGTTTTTATTTCAAGGTGTGCATCTTCTGTTATTTCAAACAAAAAGTCACAAAATTAAAATATTTCAGCCTTGGCTGGTTGGAGGGTCACCAAAAGGTTCTGTGTTCGATCCCCGGTCAGGGTGAGTACAGGGACAACCTATTGATGTTTCTCCTCTCTCTCTCTCTCTCTCTCTTTCTGTCTCTCTCTCTCTCTCTCTCTCTAAAATCAATAAAAACACATCCTCAGGTAAAGATTTAAAATATCTAAAAAAATATTTTATTCACGCAAAATCAAATTAAAAAATACTTCTCCCAATATATAAAAAGGAAACAAACTACAGAATTGTCAGAATGGTGAAAACTTGAAGAAGAAAAGGGAATAACAATTGTAAAAAAAAAAAAAAAAAAGGTTAGGATACATTAATACAGACTTCTGCTGAAATTATAGAAGGCAGTTTTGAGATCTTTAAAGTGAAAGACTACTCAAGTCTTCTGGAAAAGTTATCTTCAAGTAAACATTTAGAATATGAGAACTTCAGGAGAAATATTAGGCACTTAATATACAAGTGAAAACTCATAGATAGCCTTTAAATAACTAGACTGCAATATATGACAATTAAAACATTATGGAAATTGTGTTTTTTGTTTTTAGGCCTAAACCTCCTATCACTGACTTTAAGATTGTTCATATAATTTGTAAATCCAATATTATTACCATCTAGCAAAATTACATGTAGCTACATTAAAAACCAAACTTTCTAGCTCTCACTGAAGAAATTTCACTAGGTCCAGTGGATGTAAAGAAATGCAACTCAAGGTGAGTGGAAAGGAGGCTCTCAAAATTTATTCACTTAGCCCATACACAGCAATGAAACAGCAAATTTTCACACATATGTGCCCATTTCACGGTTATAAATAACCTTAGAATTTAGTTTGATGACTAACTTGAAAATAAAAATAAACTGCTCATGAACATAACTCAAAAGCTTATTAGAAGTAACCACTATTTTTAAATGTAAGCAAAAAGTAGGAGTGCCTTTAAAGTTTTCTTTGCAAATAATGTTCAATTAAAGAAGACTCCCCTAACACCTGACGAGACAAGGTCCCCCAACACCTCCTTCATAGAATTTATCACAACTGTGATTCCACGTTAAACAAGTCATTACACAAACGTGTGTGTGTTCCCCTCTGGACCGTAAGCCTCACGAGGGCACGGGCTGGCTCAGTCCTGCTCACGGCTCCTGGGCTCACCTAATTGTCTGTTGAATGAGAGGGGAAAAGGTTCCAGGCTTAAGAATGAACACGTCCGTCTTCACTTGTACTTATTCAAAGTAACTTTTAAAAATAAGCCGAGCCCTGGCCGGCTTGGCTCAGTGGATAGAGCGTCAGCCTGCGGACTGAAAGGTGCCAGGTGAAATTCCGACCAAGGGCACATGCCCGATTCCCAGTGTGGAGCGTGCAGGAGGCAGCCAATCAATGATCCTCTCTCGTCATTGATATTTCTTTCTCTCTCTCTCTCTCTCTCTGTGCTTCTCTCTTCCTCTCTGAAATCAATAAAGAATTATATTTTTAAAAAGAGCCCTAACCATTTAAAAAATAAAAATAAGCCGAGGGTGGTCTTTTGCCAAGGTGTCATGCAGTGTAGTGAACCGCTGAGCTTTGGGAAAGCAGGCAGTATTAGGAGAACACACAGTAGGCGCTCAACAATATGCTTGCGACGTGAAACGAATAAATACGACCATCCAATGAGCCAAACGAGGTCAAATCCGGAGACTGCCGCCACACACGGAGTTAGCCGCCATCGTGCCCACACTAACGCTGCTTCCCCCCGTGTCCGGAGTCCTCGGTCTTCCTCTGCTCCCGGGGCCGGTTCAGCATCCCAGCGCTAAGCGTCCAGGAACGGCTCCAGGAAGGAAACGAAAGCCGGCGCTCAACCAGCGCTCCAACGTCCTCCGCGTTAGGGACGCCCCCTTCCCACGCCCTTCTCCCTTCCTCTCTCATTCTACAAGTGTCAGCATCAACCAGAACGAGGGGCAAGGAATCGCGGAATGTCACCAGACACAGCTTTCAAAAGACCACGGAGTCAGAGTCATCGAGCCAGTGACCCTCTGGGGAGGGTGGACCACGTCCTCCCCCGAGTCCAGAACCGGGGGACTCAAGGGTCCCCCCACGTGAAAGAGACCGAAGCTGCCAGGGAAGAGCGGAGGGACTGGCTACCTTGGAAGGGGAGGCGGCGGCGAGTCCCCGCAGAGGCGGGGTCCGAGGACCCAGCCAGGGCCCCCACAGCCGACCGAGGAGCGAGGGCTGAGGCTCGGACATGGCCGGGAGAGCGCGCCGCCGCCCGCAGGTGCTAGGGCCACGCCGAGGGTGGGAAGAGACCGCGTCGCCCGCCCTTCCCAGACCCCGCCGTGGCCCGACGGGGCCTAACCCGGCTTCCCGCCCCGCTAGCCTGCCGTTCCCCGAGGCTCCTCCCGCGACGCCGGGCCCGCGGTTGGCCGTCCCACCGCGCACTCCCGAGCGAGGGCTGGAGGCAAGCGCGCGGAGCGCCGCGCACTCACCATTGTCAGCGCCACCCGCCGCGTCCCCCGCGCTCCACTCTTCTTCCCTCGGGAGAACTCCCAGACCCGCACTCCGTCACGTGACCCCGGGCCGCCGACTGCACGTGACCCCTTCCTTCCTCCCCTCCCTCTGCACCGACTTCCTACTGGTCTCTCGCCCCGCCCTATCGGCCGGCGTGTGTGGTGCGAGAAAGGCCGCTTGGGGGCGGGGCGTCGCGCTCCACCCTACGGCGGAGGGGGCGGGGCCTGACTTGTCGTAAACTGGGCGGGGCCTGGGCGGCCGGAGGCTCCCCGGGTTCCCCCTCGCGCTCCTTTCGGTCACGTGACGGTCGGTTGCTGACCGGCGTCTGTGCCCCAGCCGGTTCCTCCTCCCCATTTGAGTAGCTGGGGAAGAAGGGAGGGGGGAGGGTTTGTTCGGGAGGCGCTCTCCGCCTGGGGGTCACGGCCCCCGAGGGGAAGGGAAGCTGTTACTCGAGGTCCTGCTTCCTCGGGCCTCGCAAGAGCCGTGCTCGCTAATCCAGAGATGAGGCATTCTTCCAACTTTCTCCAGCTCTCTACCCAGCTCGCTCTCCCTCTGAAAACTTCTTGGTTTTGCGAACTTGTTAACTTTGTTGCCTCTGAAGAGACGACCAATGGAAAAAAGAGCACCATATAGGTTGCTACCTGACGTACACGGACCGTGAACTGTAGGGGGCTCTCGCCAGCGGTGCCGCCCCGGCCATCCCGTGGATGGGAAGGCTTCCCGGGAAGCCCGACGGTGCCGCCCCGCTGGCTGCTCAGCGGCTAGAGAGCAGCCCTGCGGACCCAAAGGTCCCAGGTTCGGTCCCGGTGCCCCTGGTGGGGGCTTGCAGGGGTCAGCCATTCAATGGCTCTCATCATTGATGTTTCTGTCTTTCCCTCTTCCTCCTCCCTGGAATCACTAAAAAGATATATGTACTTTAAAAGTCCGATGATGGTGCTGCAGACGATCGAGTCCTGTTGTAGCATTTCAAAACTTCGCCTTTAACCACCGCAGTGCACTCTATACGTTACCAAAGCAGGAAGAGTCGGCATGCACCGCAGAAATCCATCATAACAAAACAAAATCAAGTTTGTGAAGCAGGGCCATAAAGCAAGCCTCAAGTTTGAGAGGCTTGAAATTAGAGTATGGCCACTAGCCACGATAGAATTAAACTAGAAATAACGAAAAGACATAGCCAGGGGAGTGAGGGCGGAGGGTGGGGCTGGAACTGGGAGGAGGGGAGTTATGGGGGGGAAAAAAGAGGAACAAATGTAATAATCTGAACAATAAAGATTTAATTAAAAAAAAGAAAAGACATAGCCAGAAAATCCGCAAGTACTTGGAAACTCAGCAACGTAATTCTAAACCCCTGTGTCAAGAAGACATAAGTTTAAAAATAGTTTCAACTAAATGAAAGTACAACATAATTTACGGGATGCAGTTGAAGTAGTATTAGAGGGAGATCCATAGCTTTAAATGAGCATAGTTGTAAAGAAGAAAGATTTAAAGTCAGCAATGTAAGTTCACATGAGGAAGCTTTTAAAAAGCATGTTAGCATGTGGAGGGAGCAAGGGGTATATGGGAACTGCACTTTTTGCTTAATTTTGCTGTGAACTTAAAACTGCTGTAAAAAATAAAGTATTAAATAAAAAGCCCTCACAAATATGATCAAATGATCTTCGATAAAGGTGCCATGGTGACTCAATGAGAAAGGACGGTCTCTTCTACAAATAATGTTGGGACCGGGTGGGTATGTCTCAGTGGTTCAGCATGGACCCATGAACCAAGAGTTCATCAGTTCAATCACCAGTGAGGGCAAATGCCTGGGTCGCAGGCTCAGTCCCCAGTAGGGGGGCGTGCAGGCGGCAGCCCATCCATGTCTCTTATCGATGTTTCTATCTCTCCCTTCCTTTCTCTCAAATCAATAAAAACATATTTAAAAACAAATAGTGCTGGGAAAACTGGATATCCCCAAGCAAAAGAATGAATTTGGACCCTTCTCTTACACCATATACAAAAGTACTCCAGAAGAGAGTAAAGACCTAAACATAAGCCCTAAAACTATAAACCACCTAGAAGAAAACATGAGGAAAATCTTCACCACATTGGACTTGGTAGTGATCTCTTGAATATGAAACTAAAAATACAGGCAACAAAACCAAAGATAGACAAATGGAACTACATCCCGTAATGTGTGCATCAAAGGATAAACAGAATGAAAAGGTAACCTATGGAATGGGAGAAAATATTTGTAAATCATACATCTGATGAGGTATCCAGAATATATAGAAAAAACTCCTACAATTCAATAACAAAACATCAAATAATCTGACAAGACAAAGAACTTGAATGGGCATTTCTCCAAAGATGAAACACAGATGTCCAACAAACACCTGAAAAGATTTTCAACATCACTAATCATCAGAGAAATGCAAATAAAACCCACAAGATACCACCTCACACCCATTAGATTGATTACTATTTTTTAAAAAGTGTTATATCCTATATAATAAAAGCCTAATATGCAAATCAACTGAACGGCAGAACAATCAGTGGAATGACTGGTCACTATGATGCACACTGACCACCAGGGGGCAGACGCTCAATGCAGGAGCTGCCCACAGGCCCCAGGCCAGCCAAGGTGGTTGCCAGCACCCCCCCCCCCCCCCCCACCCCCCACCCCCCCGCCCATCACCCTGCTGGTTGCCCTGCAGATGGAGGAGACTGGTGGCGGCAGCGGGGAGTGGGGCAAGTGAGCAGGCAGTGCCAGGCCGGTCAAGATGGGTGCTAGCGGGGGCTCCTAGATCACCTCACTGGTTGCCCCACAGATCAGCCCTGATTGCTGGCCAGGCCTACCCGTGCACAAATTTCATGCACTGGGCCGCTGGTGTATAATAAATAGATAAAATGTGAAATGAAACAAGCACAGAGCCCTTTTATCTAAGACTGTAAAAGAAACAAGGATAAATCAAAGGAGAAAGACTGTTTCGTGTTTTCCCCTTCTTAGATTGTGTTTGCAGTCTCTGTCAAGTAACTGAGGGTATTTGCTGGAGCCAGATATTTGCATTCAGGGATCCTGACATTCATTCATTAAACATACATTTATTGAGTGCACATTAAATGTCAGGGGTTGTAGGCTGTGCAGATAGAACCATTTAGTGGTGATGATGATCAAAATAATAATAATGTTCTTGCCCCCAAGGAACTTAAATTTTAGTCTAGGAAATGGTCAAGAGACAGGTAATTAAATAAATGTATTCAGTTGGGGGAAAGCACTAAAAAGAAATAGACCTGGGGACATGATGGGTTGAAAGAGCTATTTTTAGGTAGGTGGTAGGAAAGTGACATTTAAACAAATCTGAAAGGATGAGTCACCTATTAGAAGAACTGAAGGAAGAAGTCCAGTTCTTCCTGAACTGCTAATGTAAAAGTCCTGAACTAGGAAAAGGCCTGGCTCTTTCCAGGAATGGAAAGACAGTGTAACTGAAGCTTACTGATAACAAGGACAGTTTAGTAACACCAAATGAGAAGCAATTAGAGAACAGTTGAGTACGAGGAGGTCCATAGATGTTGCTCTCTTACTTATCTCCAGATTCAGGAGGATTGTTGGGTCAGAATTTTAAAGCAACACATTCGGATGTTGCCTGAGTATCTCTTCACAACCATGAGAAGAACTGTTATCTTCCATCCTCATTCCAACAGAGCATTTGTTTATTCCCTTTGAATATAGGCTGTCTTTCCTACCAGACTTAGGGAAGGAGTTACAAGCTACCGACACCTCTTACCAACCGTAACACCTAAAATTCAGTAAACCCACAATAAGTATTTTATTTTGTTTTTTAATTAGAGCTGTAGACCTAATTGGAGATCAACTACTCTAACTTTTTTGTTTTATTAGGATTAAGATCATACAACTGATTAGCGTAGAATGCTGATGTCCTGACTCCCAGTACAGTTTTTTTTGGACCCTCTATGAGACTGCCCACTTGACATTAGTAAATAAGACCAGCGATTTTCAACCTTTTTCACTTCATGGCACACACAAACTAAAATTCTGTGGCACACCAAAAAATGTATTTTTGCCAATCTGAAAAAAAATAGGTATAATTTTTATCGATTCACATAAAAATTAGTAATAGTAATTACCTACCCTTTTTGCTCCAACGGACTTTTTTAAAAAATCATATGTGAGGCCGAAACCGGTTTGGCTCAGTGGATAGAGCGTCAGCCTGCGAACTGAAAGGTCCCAGGTTCGATTCCGGTCAAGGGCATGTACCTGGGTTGCAGGCATATCCCCAGTGGGAGATGTGCAGGAGGCAGCTGATCGATGTTTCTCTCTCATCGATATTTCTAACTGTCTATCTCTCTCCCTTCCTCTCTGTAAAAAATCAATAAAATATATTAAAAAAAAAATCATATGTGAGGATTTCTGGTACCAAGAATTAATTAATCAATTAGGTGTAACCTCATCATGTGACGTGACCGATAAGATGCAATTCTATTGTATGAACTACTAGAGTCCCAGTGCACGGGCTTGCGCACTCTCACAATCCGGGGCCACTCAGGGGATGTTGGACTGCCGGGCCAAAACCAGCAAACCGACATCCCCCCAAGGGATGTAGTAGTGCGTGAAGCAGCAGGCTGCCGGGGAGGAGACCAAAGGCACCGTGCCACTCCTGCTCATCTCAGCCCCGCTGCGCCTGCTGCTGCTGCTGACGCAGAGGTGGAGAGGCTCGCCCAGCTGCTCGCCAGCCATGAGCCCTGTGTCGGGCACCCATTGGTCAGCTGAGCAGCACTCCTGCTGTGAGGGCTCACTGACCACCAGGGGGCAGCTCCTGTATTGAGCATCTGCCCCCTGGTGGTCAGTGCACGTCATAGCAACTGGTCAAATGGTTGACCAGTTGAATGGTCAACCGGTCACTTAGGGTTTTAGAGAGAGAGAGAGAGAGAGATTTATGGTTCAAGACAGGGCATTCACACCAGATGGCTATTACGTTGTGTTAGCTGCTGTCATTTTTTTATTTTACCATCTAAGGGAAAAGAGGCCAGTGCCCCTGACTAAATAGTCAGGTATTGCATGTTTTAAAAAACCTTGAGGCACACCAGTTGAAAATCACTGAATAATACTATAGTCAAAGCACATTTAATAAGCCAAAT